CTTATCCAAAGATCTGTTAATTTATTTTTCCCATCTTATCAATTCTAAATGATTCCCCTCTAAGGTTAAAGTAACTAACCAGTAGTTGCTGGGCTTATCCTTACGTTTTTTTTTGGACATAGGTGTAACATTTTTGATTGGCTGGTCCTCTGGCACTATCCCTGTATCAAAGAAGGATTGGAAGATAACGGCCAAAGCCTCCACAATTTCCATCCTCTGTTCCTTTAGTATTCTCGGATACATTCCATCCTGTCCTGGTGATTTACCAAATGTAATTATAGCCAACATTTCCAATCTTTGTTTATTAAATTTTCAGCAGTTTTTGAAAAATAGCAAGAAGGTATTTTGAAACAGAATGGTCAACAAGCAAAAGACAATTCAGCCCTAAGGCTAATTGAGAAGCTGGGTACTATGGATAGAATTAATCTGAAATTAAGAAGACAGAGAAAATGTTGGAGAAGACTCAGCTGGTTAGGTAGCATCAATGGGAAGAGAGAAACAGAGTTAAATGTTTCAGATCGGAGAGCTTTTCATCAGTCTGGAAATGTGGGATAACCCCTAGAAGGCCCATGGAGCATGACTAAACAATATCCCCAATGAACTTTGTGGGATGTAGGCATCGCTGGCTGGCCAGCATTTATTGCCTGTACCTAGTTGCCCTTGAGAAGGTGGTGATGAGCTGCCTTCTTAGGCCGCTGCATTCTGCCTGTTGTGGGTTGACCCACAATGCCATTAGGGAGGGAATTCCAGGATTTTGACCCAGCGACAGTGAAGGAATGACAATATATTTCCAAGTCAGGACGATGAGTGGCTTGGAAGGAAACTTGTAGATGGTGGTGTTCCCAAGCATCTGCTGCTCTTATCGTTCTAGATGGAAAGTGGTCACGGGTTTGGAAGGTGCTGTCTAAGGATCTTTGGTGAATTTCTACAGTGCGTTTTGTAGATAGTACACACTGCTGCTATGGAGGGTCAGTAGTTGAGGGAGTGGATGCTTGTGCTTGTAGTGCCAATCAAGCAGGGTACTTTGTCCTGGATGGTGTCAAGCTTCTTGAGTGGTGTTGGAGCTGCACACATCCAGGCAAGCGGGGAGTATTCCGTTACACTCCTGACTTGTGTCTTCTAGAGTGTGGACAGGCTTTGGGGAGTCAGGAGGTGAGTTACTCACCGCAGTATTCCTAGCCTCTGACCTACTCTTGTACCCACTGCATTTATGTGGTGAGTTCAGTTGAGTTTCTGGTCAATGATAACACCAGGATGTTGATAGTGGGGCTTTCACTGATGGTAACACCATTGAATGTCAAGGGGCAGTGCTTACATTGTCTCTTACTGTTGATGGTCATAGCCTGACATTTGAGTGGTGCAAATGTTACTCACTACTTGTCAGCCCAATCCTGGACATTGCCCAGATCTTGTTCCATTTGAACGTGGACTGCTTCGGTATCTGAGGAGTCATGAATATTGCTCTCACTTCACCTGTAGAATTCAGCTTTTCTCTGCATGTTTGAACCAAGGCTGTAATGAGGTCAGGAGCTGAGTGGCCCTGATGGAACCCAAACTGGGCATCACTAAGCAGGTCATTGCTGAGCAGGTGCTGCTTGATAGCACCGTTGATGACACCTTCCATCACATTACTGATGCTCGAGAGTGGAACGATGGGGAGGTAATTAACTAGGATTGGATTTGTCTTGCTTTTTGTGTACAGGAGGAGGCCGAGATTGATCATCCACTCAGCACTTTTGGTTGAAGATTGCTGTAAATGCTTCAGCCTTAACTTTTGCACTGATGTGTTGGGCTCTTCCAATATTGAGGATAGGGATATTTGTGGAGCCTTCTCCTCCAATGAGTTGTTTAATTGTCTACCATCATTCATGACTGGATGTGGCAGGAGTGTACAGCTTAGTTCTGATCTGTTGTTTGTGGGATTGCTTAGCTCTGTCTATGATTTGCTGCTAATGCTGTTTGGGTCGCAAGTAGTCCTGTTTGGTGTCTTCACTAGGCTGTATACCACTGTGCTGCCACCTCTGCTGGATCGGTTCTGCCAGTGGGACAGGACATATCCAGGGATGGTGATGGTAGTGTCTGGGACATTGTCTGTAAGGTATGATTCCATGAGTGTGACTATATCAGGCTGCTACTTGACTAGTCTGTGAGACAGCTCACCCAAATTTGGCACTAGCCCCCAGATGTTAGCAAGAGGACTTTGCAGGGTCAACAGGGCTTTTTCTGTCAGTCTTTTCTGATACAAAGGGAAAAACATCTCTGAACAGAGTGATTATAAAATATCTAGAAAGTAGACCCAGAGCACTCTTGTAATGCAGTGGCAGAGTCCTTGCCTCTGGACCAGGAAGCCTTGTTCAAGTTACCACGTGCTTCAGAGGTGTGTAATGACATCTCTAAACAGGTTGATTAGAAAAACAAAATGAAGTAGACCCAGTGTTTTTAAAAAAAAAAGACACATTAATAAAAAAATTAGACCATTCCATTTCCAACTCCATTTTGATTTAGCCCCTTCCTGCTCTCCCTATCCCTTTCTCACTTTTGATGGTTGACTTGTACATAATGGGCTTTGCATGTAAATTTTTACATGGGTTTTACTGGTAGCGGTTAACAATTAAAAACAAAAACAAAAGCCCTGGTAATATCATGGTGGGAAAGCCATTTGATAACACTTGTGTGATAACACTTTCAGATATTAAAAAAGACTCAGGTTAGTAATGGTCTAAGAAATTATGTTTTAAAAAGCTTTTATCGCAAGACAGAATGAATTTTTGATGGGTGGTGCTGACTGTTTACATCTTAAATATTGCCCATAATGGGTTTTGCAATTTAAGTATCCAGCTGGCTGCATGGGTGATTTACATGGGTGGCTGCTAATAGTTAAAAACAATTTTAAAAAGTCACAGTGATTTGGTGATGTGGGGGGGAAACTATTCGGTATGTGTGATTAGCACTTCAGAGTTTAATAAACAAAGCAGACCCAAGCGGTTAATAATTAAAAACAAAAAAAAGTTATGGTGATTTGGTTATAGGGGAAAAAATGCATTCAGTTGTGTGTGATATAAACAAAAATAACGCAGACACAGAGGGACCTTGTGGTGCAGTGGGAGTGTCCCAACCTTGGCTGGAGGAATTGAATGACAGAAATTTTGGGGATCCTGGGAATGGAGATAGAGTCAGAAAAGATTCAAAAAGAATAGAAACAAAATGCATGTCTAGAAGATGCTTCTGCTGAAATAAAAATCTGAAACAAGAAAAGAAACAGAAACAACATAAGAATAGAGTTTACAGTCTGCATTTTTGTGAAACTTTGGAAGTTAGTGTTGTTGAATTGATTCCAGGAGAAGGTGAAGTGCTTAAATGAAAGGTGAGGTGCTATTCCTGAAGCTTCAGTGGAGGAGTACAGTAGGCTGAGGCAAGGTAGAAAATTAAAATGACAGACCATTGCAAAGTCTGGATTGGTGTTATCTTTAAGAACTTTACAGTCTTCTGGACTCAGCACTGAGTTCAGCAATTTCAGATCATAAATCCTCTCTCCCAGGCAATGTTTTTATTTTCTTAAGGGCTCTACTTGAGGGCTACTTATTTTTATTCTCACAATGCTTTATGATCTGACACAGTCAATTGGCAACATAGTCTCCTGTGTTTATGTTGACCTTATTGGTCTTTGGAGCCAAACAGAAGCAAGTGTATAAGAATTCATTAATGTCCTCAATAGGTATTAACCTATTACCATAAACTTAATGCCACAATATACAGGAAAACATTAATTTCCTAGCGACCAGAGTATTTAAATTGGCGAAAGACACCAAGCTAAGTTAGGGAAAATTTTTGATTTCAAAATAACTGGCGCATGTCCCACACAAAAAGCTATTACCCGAAACACATGTTTCACAGACCGAAGTCATGGCTATTATGCTTCACTAGATATCGTAAAACTGGGAGTTATACTTTTTACTGTATCTCAGACCTCAATCTAAGATTTAAATACGACAATTGATAGTGTTCATTGCAATAGCATTCACGATATTCTACCCCATAGAGCAAGTCTTGAATATATGCGGCCTTACAGACTTATCACATTCATTTATCAGTCATTCATTACTACAGTGATTTCATTTTCCTAGATTCTAGTTAGCTGAGTGCTGCTTTCGTTGTGTTCTGATCCCAACTGATGTTATAAATCAGATTCCAGACTGAAATCTGGCCTAATTGACATTTTGGTTTGTTTTTATTTAATGAGATGATCTTTCACTAAACACAAACATGCAATGCTACATATTTGCTTTTAACAATAAAACAGAAATTAATTATGCAAAAGATGATAAAATAGACTAAACCAAACTATTTACATATAACATAATCTGACATTTCAAAAAAATATAGTAAAAATACAATCCCACATATCTGAACATAATCACGTATAGCACTCAAACAACAAGGAGAATTTTCTTGTCCATCACATCTATAGGTTTTATTTAACTATATATTTCAATTCTCAGTCTTGAGAGTTTTATAGCCTCCTGCTGGATTGGTCACACAAGTGAGCTTAGACTTTCTCAGCTTCAAACAATCCTTTCTGGATTCTAAACCAGCCCTTGTGGTCTGGAACTGTCAAATTAAAATCCTTACACTAAGATAAGCTATTTCCTAACTGTTCCAAACTAACTCCTTTCTTTACAAAAGAATGTTTTATATTTCCATCTTCAAACAGGACTTCTATGAACTGAAATAAAAAGCTTTCCAGGTCTTTCAAATCTGTCTCATCTTTTCAACTGATCAAAAAAAATTCTTCTAAACAGAAAGCAAGCTAATGTTTCTCAATGATAAGTTCTCTCCCAGTGCAAACAAATGCCCATTATCACCACAGGTCTCCCTTTCTTGCACTAGTCTATGTCTTCACAAATACTTACAAATTAATCACTAAACCTCCTCACAAACACACACTAAAACCCACATGTTCAAAATCAAAAGAAAATGCGCATACAAATCGCACACCTTACCTCGCAATTCAGAGTCGCAACTGTTTTCTCAACTTTGCTGCCTCTTCCACCACCATTTCAACCTCCCACTCTTTTCCAGCCCCTTTACATCCACCATCTTCTCCCGCCACATTTTTGTCTCCAATCTCCTCCCAACCACCACCAACTTCACCCTCCCATTGCCCCCGCGCCAGCCCGGACTTCTGGTCCTCCGGGAGGCGGGAGGCGCTGTGTGCACTCTGAACCTTGGGAGGTGCTGCGAATCCTCCGGGCGGCGGATCACGCTGTTAGTCCTCCCAGCCTGGGGAGGCGCTGCGAATCACGTTGTTAGACCTCCGGGCGGCGGGAGGCGCTGTGAAACCTCCGAGGGGCGGGAGGTGTTGTGAGTCCTCCGGGCGGCGGGAGGCGCCTCCTCTCTGCGGGGTGAGGATGGTCCTGTGGCCGCGGCTGCTTTGTCGCGGGATGAAAGGCCGGGGTTGCGGCACCGTGTGTGTGTGTGGCGTCCTACCTCCTTGTTGGTTTGAATGAAGCCGGAGGGGGAGTCCGCGATATTCCCTGAACCTGTGGAAGGTGAGGATCGGGGATCGGGGAGAGCGGGCCGGAGGGTGAAGCCCCCGTAGAGACAATGAGTCAGGGTCGAAACAAAAACAAATTGCTGGAGAAACTCAGCAGGTCCATCAGTGTCTGTGGAGACAAAGCAGAGTTACCATTTCGGGTCCAATGACCCTCTTTAGAACCGTGTCGGGCGGATGCCGCCAGTCCTCCCCCGGAGCCTCATCCGGTGCCTGAACGAGTCGTGTGCAGCAGGCCCGGGCCCTGGCTCTGGGGCTTGCGGTTCCATTGAATGGTGAAAAGGCCGGAGCGCCTGCGGCAGTTGGGGATTGGGAGGGGCAGAACGGAGTGTCACTGACACTGGCCTTTCCGCTCCTCAGGCTCGCCAGCAGCCTCTGAGATCACTCCCTTCGTCAGCGGGCCTCTGCAGCTTCCAGTAGAACGGGCGGCTTTGTGGTTGCAGTAGGCTGGGCTCCTGGGTTTCTGATGGTATTTGCATCATGGACATTTCCCTTTAAGTTATATTTTTAGCAGTTACAGGCCCCTCCGCTTCCTTTTATAACTCCTCAATATATGAAGGATCAGGGAGAGGACGCGATACAAACCCTTGACTCCAGCTGCATCTCCAACTTTGACGGGAGCTATCGCTTGAAAACTTTTCTTTGGGCTGTAAAGAATTTTTGATTTTCCAGGGGAGAATATTGTATCGTTTTAAAAAGTAAATATCGGATACTTCATTAATCGGCAGTCTAGCTCCAGTTGTGGGATTTTTGCTACCCTCACATCATTTCATCTGTAAGTTTGGACTTGATTGCTTTACGAGTAATTGATATGGCACTGAGTTGTACAGAGTAGGGAAACCCTAAATGTGAGCTTTTGTATAGATTATCTAAAAGTGGGTTATTATAGAGTTGTAGTTGATTTTAGCACCCACAAGTTGAGAATAGGGAAAATGTTCCTTAACACATGGCTTTTGAACCGAGAGGCCGTTTCAGATTGAACAACATTTCTGCATCCCAAATAGGCCAGACTACATAAGTTCGGATGGTTTCCATCCCTAAATGGCATTAGTGAACCAAATTTATGACCATCATCAATGTGCCATCAGGCTAACTTTTTTTAAAATTCCAGGTTTTTAGTGAATTCTCATTTCATCTGCCATGGTGGGATTTGAACCAAGAATATTAATCTGAGATAAAAATCAGTGCTGGAGAAGCTCGGCAATTCTGGCAGCATCTGTGGTGATAGAAACAGTGTTAACTTTGAATCTAATATGACTCTCCTGCAGAACTGTTCCGAAACGTCAGCTTCCCTGTTCGTCTGCTGCCTGGCCTGTTGTGTTTCTCCAGCTCCACACTTTGTTCTCTCTGACTCCAGCATCTGCAGTTCTTGATATCTCTCTGAAGTCATACTGGACCTAAAACAGATGCTGCCAGACCTGCTAAGTTTCTTCAGCACTTTTGTTTTATTTCAGATTTCCAACTTCTGCAATATTTTGCTTTTATTTGAGCATTAATCTGAGACTAATTCAGTTAAGTAACATTACTAATATGCCATTGGCTCTCCAATGTTGTTTTAGCTTTTTGGGGATGTGTCAGAAGTGCAGCTGCGATGCAGAATTGGATTTAGTTGGGATATCATGGTGGACAAATAAGCTACTCACTTACTGTCTAATCTTACTGATGATCAACGGAGTTAGACAAGACTTGTCATGGATGGTCACGGGTCTTGTGATTCGAAATTCCTACGCTTGTGATTATCTTCAGACTCTTTGGGTCACCCGAGTGGTGTTTAGCCTAATCAGTTAAAAATTTTGTGCGGTGGGGATTATACACCAGAAGGAATAGGTGGGCTCAGCAAAAAGCAAACTTGTGTGATCTGTGTAAGAGCCTTTACTTAGCACATTTAAAATAAACAAACATCTGAAGTGCTTCATAGAATTGTTATAAAACAAGGTATGAACAGATGACATTTCATCAGTAAAGTGGTAGAAGGGGTCATTGGCAATGCTATCGAGCAACACCTGCTCAGGGATGCCGAGTTTGGGTTCTGCCAGGGCCATTCACCTCCTGATCTCATTACAGCCTTAGTTCAAACATGGACAAACATGATGTGAAAGTGACAGCCCTTGACGTCATGGTTGCATTTGACCGAGTGTGGCATCAAGGTGTGCTAGTAAAACTGGAATCAACAGGTATTTGGGGTGGGGTGGGGTGGGGGGGTGGGGGTAGTGGATAGGGTGTGTGTGTGTGTGTGTGTGTGTGTGTGTGTGTGTAAGTAAACTCTCCAGTGGTTGGACTCATGTCTGGCACACAGGAAGATGTTTGTCACTGTTGGAGTTCAGTCATCTCAGCTCTGGGACATCTCTGCAGGAGTTTCTCAAGCAGTGTCCTAGGCCCAATCATCTTCAGCTGCTTCATCAAGGACATTTCTTCCTCCAGAAGGTCATAAGAGGGGATATTTCCTGGTCACTGCACAATGTCCAACACCATTCACAATTCCTCAGATACTGAAGTAGTCCACGTTCAAATACAACTAGATCTGGACAATATGGAGGCTTGGACTGACAAGTGGCAAGTAACATTCATACCGCACAAATACCAAGCTATGACCATCAACAATAAGACATAATCTGACCACTGCTCCTTGACATTCATTGATGTTACCGTCACTGAAACCCCCACTATCACCATTCTCGGGGTTATTCTTTGACCAGAAACTCAATTGAACTCGCCACATAAACACAGTGGTTACAAGAACGGGTCAGAGGCTAGGAATACTGCAGTGAGTAACTCCCCTCCTGATTCCCAAAGCCTCCCCACCATAAACAAGGCACAAGCCAGGAGTGTGATGGAATACTCCCCACTTGCCTGGATGGGTGCAGCTCCAGTGACACTCCTGAAGCTTGACACCATCCAGGACAAAGTAGCCGGCTTGATTGGCACCACATTGACAAACATCCACTCCCTCCACCACCAATGCAGAAATTCACCAAATGACCCTCAAGACAGCACCTTCCAAACCAACAACCACTTTGATCCAGAAGGACGAGGGCAGCACATACTTGGAACAGCACCATCTTAAAGTTTTCCTCTAAGCCACTCACCATCCTGACTTGGAAATATGTTGCCATTCCTTCACTGTTGCTGTGTCAAAATCCTGGAATTCCCTCTCGGTATTGTGGGTCAACCCACCACCTGGACTGCAGTGGTTCAAGAAGGCACCTTACCACCACCTTCTCAAGGGCAACTAGGGGCGGGCAATAAATGCTGGTCAGCCTGTGATGCCCACATGAAAAAAAGCCACAGTGAAGTATTGGGTTAGATGAACAGAAATTTGGGTAAAGGGGCTGATTTGAAGCAGTGTCTCAAAGGAGGAAAGCAAGTTGGAGATTTTTTTTTAAAAACGAAGCATTTGAAGCCGTGGTCACCAATGTTGGAGCACTATAACCCAATAAGCTAAGGCAGCTAAAGGTATTTAGTAAGTTATCCCACAAAAGATTATTGCACAAAATAAGGGCTTTGAGTATTGAGATAGAGGATTGCCTAACTGGAAATGTAGTTGAGGTAAATGGGTCGTTTTTGGTTAGCAAATTGTTAACTAATGGAGTGCTGCACGGGCCATTGCTGGAACTGCAACTATTTATAATCTATATCAATGTGTTTGGTGAAGGGGCTGACAATGTATTTTAATCAAATTTGCTGATGATACAGAATTAGCTAATAAGATGTGTTGTAAAGAGGATACAGAGTGTGCAAAAAGACATAGGTTAAGTCAATGTCACAGAAAACAGCACATGGTCTATCTTATGAGCAAATGTGAACTTGTTCATTTGGGCAGGAAGATTAGAAAAGCAGAATATTATCCAAAGGGAAGGGGACTGCAGAATGATGTGTTCAGATGAACCTGGGTGTCCTTGTTAATGAAACAGAAAAATGTTAGCGTGTAATATCTAAGTCATGAGGATGGCAAATAGAATGTTGGCCTTTATTGCATGAGAGGCTTTTTTGTTTGTAAAATGTAGGTATTGCTGGCAAGGCCAGTGTTTATTGTCTCCTCTTAAATGCCCTTGAGAAGGAGGTGGTAACCTGTCTCCTACAACTGCTGCAGTTCCTTGTGGTCTAGGTATGTTCACAGTGCTTTACGAAAGGTATTGCAAAATTTTGACCCTATAGCAATGAAGGATTGTTGATATAGTTCCAAGTCAGAAGGGTGGGTAATTTGCAGGGGCACTTGCAGGTGATTTTCATGTGCTTCTGCTGCCCTTGTCTCTCTAGGTGGTAGAGATAATAGATGAAGTGTGCCGTTGCAGAAATGTTGGTGAGTCACTGCAGTACGTCTTGTGGACGCTACGCACTCCTGGCGTTGTTGCGAGGGGATTAAATGTTGAAGGTGGTGACCTGGATGGAGTCGAGAGTTTTGAGTGTTGTTGGAGCTGCACTCTCCCAGACAAATGGAGAGTAATCCATTGCACTCTTGACTTGTTCCTTTTAGATGGTGTTTAGAATTTGGGGAGTCAGATGGCTGTTTCACCTCTGAATGCCTAGCCTTTGACTTGCTCTTGTGGGCACTATTTATTGATACTTTTAATCAATCTGTTTAGACATATGACACACCTTTTGAAGCATTTGGGGCTTGAGCCCAACCCTGTTTGCCAGAAATAGGGATATTACCACTCCACCACAAGAGCCCTGCCACAGTATTTTTATAATTTCTGGCCAGTGGTAAGCTCCAGGGTGTCAGAAATGATAATCCCAT